GATGCTTAAGAACGAGGGCCCTACCAGCTTCTTCAAGGGTCTGACCCCCAAGCTGCTGATGACAGGTCCCAAGCTGGTCTTCAGCTTCTGGCTGGCACAGACTTTGATTCCCGCTTTCGGCCAGGTTGTATAGAGACCATGTTTTATAATAGTTGCATTTCCCCTTTTATTTCTCCTTTCTTGGGCTAGGTTAACTACCTAGACTTTTGTATTTTTCATAGACATCTTTTATTTCTTGCGGGGATCTACTTAGGTAGCTTACATTTTCCGAATGCGATGAACTCACTCTACTTCAACAAGTTCTATTTGGACGACATATATATTCTATTGCTAGAAATAACCACAAGAATAAGACGGAATGTATAGTGGGAATATCAACATCCAAAACCAGTAAACGAAAATAAAACGCATATGTGAAAAAAAAAACATGGCACAAACTCGATTCGTGAGGCATTCTACTAACCAGTAACAGCGCTTCTTTGCTTTGCTAGCCAGCCCTTGGAATCTCCCGTGCTGGCTCCATGCCGATATCGTGATACCGTCATATTGTTGTTCTGCCATCGGCTTTGAAGGTGATACCAAGCCGAGCCCACAAGGTTGAGTTCTCGGGCCTGGCTGTCGATAATATTCTGAAGCTCAAGCTAGAAAATGTCATCAGCATACTGCTAGAACGTAACAGAATCAAGGGATAAAACATAAACAGGTCCATCTTTGACTTACCTCTCGCTCTTTGGAAATGCCATCGTCCAGATTTTCTTCGTAGTTCTTCATACGTTCACGAAGTGACTTGACCAGCTCGTTTTGTTGCTGGATGTACTGTAGAACCAAGCTAGAATTAGCAGACGGAAACCGAATAAGACGCAGCGAGGATCTTTTGTGGAAAACTGACCTCCGCACGTTGAGCAAGTCGTTCAACGTTCTTCTCCAAGACTCCAGCACATTGCTTCAAGAGCTCGAAGCTCGATTTCTGGGGCACTTCGCCACCCTCGGTATTGTGGGTTTCAAACTCGCCTAGGAGCATCTGCATCTCGTTCATCACTTCCTGATCTTCGGAGCTGATCTCGCTTTGCTTGTTGTCGAGCATCTTGCGCAGTTCCTCTCGTTCCGCACAGACTTCGCGCACCAGAGTTTGGCTGGCATCAACTTCAGCCTCCAGGTGATGGACGTTCTGTGTAAGGCTTTCCCAGTCGTCCCGGATTTTTGTTAATTCAGCTGAGTTGTGCGCTTCAAGTCCTTGGACCATCTCGACCTGTTCCGCATTGACAAGGCCAACTTGAAGATTGTAAGTCACATGTTTTCCCTCGGATGTGTAGAACCAAAGCAATAAAACACTTACGTTCAGCTTGTGTATCAGACAAGTCCCTCTTGGCTGTTTCCAAGGTGTCCTGGACCTCTGCAATCTTCTTAAGAGCTCCGGTATAGTTCTCGTATAGTTTCCAATAATCGTCACTGTGGAGTGTATTAGATATTCTGTTCATAGAAACGAAATGTTGGGCAATCAAACCTTTGGGTGGAACCAGAGCGAGCCAGGTGCACGGATGCAGCGAAGTTTTCAGAGAAGCCTCCAGTGTGAGAGGCTGGCTGCTGCTTATTAGTAACGGTAGGGGCCTGTAGAGAACATATGGTACACATACAGCTGAGGGCGCTTTAATCGACTCCATTTCCCGCTTCAAGTCATCATTATCAGATTTACTGTCAAGAGTTAGCATCCAATAAGGCCGTGAAGGCAAATTGTATACATACAGTTGAGATTCCTTGACACCGAGTGCCTCGAAGTCCTTGTGTAATGTCCCTTGCATTTTAGGCGTCTCAGAGCCAGGCGACGCGCTGCCCGGCAAGCCGTCCATTTCCCCGAGGCGTTCACGTAGTTCGGTGATCAAAGCGTCATCTCTCTCGTGCTGTTCGTCCGCACTTTCCAGTCGCTCCGTCAGAGCATGGTTATTGAACTCGAGTTGTTTCTTCAAGTTCTGGATCTCATTGCATTCCTGCTCGACTTGTGGCAAAAGCTTGCGGTATTCTTCCAGCTCCACATCACGCTCCGAAGACCATCGCTGCTGCGCGTCTGACTCTTTCAGCTGTTGCTGGAGATCTTTGATCTGGTTCTTGAGGGTCTGGTTCTCCTTCTCAAAGTCTTGGCTGGCTTGCAGCTTTTGGCGGTATTTCTCGGCCGCGTTTGCCTTGCGCGCGAGCTGATCCTTCTCGGTACGGAGCTCATCATAGTCATCCTGCAACTTCTGATAGCGCTGGTTTTTGACTCGTAAGGACTCGACTGTCATGCGAAGACTGTCGATTTCGTCCTGGGCCGCGGTCAACTTCGCTTCTTGAGAAGCAATTAGATCGTCCTGTTGACGAGTCTTGCTCTCCAATGCCTTTGCATTGTGACCAATATCACCTTTTCCGGATTTCAATGTAACTAGCCGGTCCTCGGTGGAGGCGAGGCGGTTTTGCAGGGTGTCATTGTTCTCCTGGAGACGCGCCAGGCGATTGTGTAGATCCTCCAACGCCTTTTCCAACTCCTTTTTCTCGTGTGTTAGACGGTCGTTCTCCGCAAGCACTTTTCCGACGCGTTCTTCGAATTGCAGTTCCAGGTCCACAGGGCGATCGTGCTTGGCCAGGTCTTCCCTGAGCTCGTCAGCAGCGTCCATCGGCTCGTATTGGCCATTGTGCGCCTCCTCAATAATATCCCTGAGCCCCTCTTGTGTCGAGGTGCTTAGTTCCTGAAGTGTTTGCACGTATGTTCCGGCGTTGGGGGAGCTGATGGCCGCGATCAGGAGAAGCTTCAGCAATTTGTTTGTTTCCTTGGAAGAGGCTTTTTCGGCGATAGACTCGAGATCAGGCGATGGATCGAGACCGGAGGGTAGGATGTCATCGTTTTGGTGTCGAATGTAGTTGAGCAGTAGTTTATGAATGTGCTTCAGGTTCTGCCACTTGGCCACCCAATGGTCGGAGGGGTTGCGCTCTGGGATTTCCTCAAGGAAAAACTGAGGGTCAATATCCTGGAGAATCTCCCACAGAATAATTCCATCGGTCAATTCATCGGTGGTTCGGAGGGTTTTGCCCAAGGAGAAGCTGTTGATCCATTCCAACAGAACCTTGGTCACCGTGTGTTCCGAAGCCATTTTGACGCGTTTTAATCAAGTGTCAAAGAAGCCAGCAATTCCAGCAATTCCAGCATTTCCAAGACTCAAAAGCGAGGGATTACGCAGGATGCCTCGGTGGCTCTCGAGGGAGTTTCCAGATCCACGCGCCTTCGGGGCCACGGGAGTCAACTAGCGGGGGGAAGGATGATCGCCCCTACAATTTGTTAGGTTGTCTATGCTCTTTGATTTGCTACGAACATTGAAGTACATAACTCATGCCTTGAATTTTAAATCATACATTGTGACAGTGAATATATTGTATGCTTTTTGAGTAGATCGGAAAAAAAAAACTTCCAATAAACCTATATGTTTCCCCCCGAAAGCCCTTAGCTGAAGCATAAGGGTTCAACCATTTCCATTTACTCCACATTGTATACATCCAAACGCCGAGGTTGTATTAAATCACCCATCACCCAAGCCTTTCTGAAAATGTGTTTCTGATTGGTTCATCCCAACGTGGGTTTGCCTCTGGTCATGATATGCTCAGAGATGCTCAAAGCTATGAGATTCGCAAACCCACAGTATCTCATTGCAGAGGGTATATTAGACTGCAGCTGTATAGTCTCCGTACGCACTGACAACCTTATCTTCTTCGATATTCGGTTTGTATTGAGTATCTTGCGTGGAGAGGGTTTGGAGAGCGCTCACAGGAGCCTCGGCGGCGAAGCCACTAAAGCCATAGTTAGAAAGTGGGTTATAAGACAATATCTCGGTTGAATTTGTACTTGATCAAATCTGGATAAGAAAAATATGTTAGTATATGATATCTCCATCTCTGAATGTGGGTAAGGTAGAGCGTAGAACTTACGGTACTCATGCGTGATGACGCCACCCTAGAAGTGTCAGTTCCGTGCCGTAACAGCCTCATGACAACAAAGAAGCACTGCGTACTGAAGCCACCAGACAGACTTTGGCTTGGTTAACCACCGAGTCAGGCGTTCCCTTGGGGAAAGTAACGATGACGGACTTGAGCGATTCCGCTAGTGCCAGTGGTAGAACTAGCAAGGCAGCAAATGTAAGCTTCATATTGAAAAAAAAAGGTAATAATATCTCTTAAATAAGTTGGGGATGTACAGAGTAAAAGTAAAGTAAGGAAGTAAGTCGTCTGACAAGGAGCAGTTGAATGCGTCATTCCACGATCACATGACTATATCTCTCTGACAATCCCTTTCTCTTTAGCACTTCCACTCACCACCTCAACCACTTCACCACTTCGCTTCTCTCTTTCTTTTTTTCTTTTTTGTTAACCTTCAATTTTACATTGCTTCACTACTCCACAGCGCTGTTTTCTTGCATTTACCCATTCTTGGTAGTCCCCCTTGTTTCTTCATTTTCCACTCCCCGCATCTGCTTGGTTTTCGCACGAGGCTTTTCGGCCTAGCATTTCTTCCCTCGTTCCATGACCACCCATCGGCGATTATTTGACTGGAAGGTAGATACAAAAGGGCACTGGAAGGTCACGGGTTGGGTTGGACTGAGAGCAAGCGTTTGAATACTATTGTTTTCTCAATTCTCGCAAAAATAGCTAGCAAGCATTTACAAGTTCCGACTATTTCTCCATCTTTGCGCTGATCCAAGAGAATTTGTTCCTTGGAACGAGGACAAGGATTAAGAAGAAAAGAAGACAGTCTCGATAGTCACAGGGGAAAGGACAGGCAGAAGCCATCCAAAAGGAAGAAGTGAAAAGAAGAAGAATCAAACTCGAAAACACACAAGACTCAGAGAACAAAGAACAAGAGCAGGAGAGGAAAAAACCAAAAAACCAAAAAAAAAACCACGTGCTGAACTTCGTCTTGATATTGATTTCTGCCCTCGACATCTCTGATAAATCCAGATCACCACTCCTCCCACATCGCCATAATGTCCGGCCTCATTTCCGACGAAATTGCGGAGGATTACAAGAGCTCCTTGGAAGACCTAACCACCAATGATGGAATCCAGATCCGTACTCTGACCGTCATTGCCAAAGAAAATACCGAACACGCAATGGCAATTTCTCGCGTCCTGGAGAACCATATTCGATCAGTAGGTGCTCCTGATTTTGTTGTGGCGTAGTACAGGATGAGTACTAACCACTATGTAGACACCACCCCTGCAGAAGCTTCCAGCCCTCTATGTAGCCGATTCCATTGTCAAGAACGTTGGAAGCCCCTACACCCTCTTCCTTGGCCGCAACATGTACCAGACATTCATGAATGTTTATACTCTGGTTGATGGAAACACCCGAAGGAAGTTGGATGAGATGCTCAACACATGGAAGCAGCCGGCCCCAGGCTCCCTGGACACGCGCCCAGTTTTCCCTCCCGACATCACACGCAACATCGAGAGTGCTCTCATCAAAGCACGCACTGCGGCTTTGCAACAACAACAGGCCAGGGTCCAACCGGACATCCTCGGCCGTAGTCGCGGAAATGGGACTCCGACTGGGTGGACCAACAGCCCTTCACCTCAGAACATGTCTCGGCCTTCACAAAACCAGTATCCCAATATTGGCCATTCCAATTCGGTAAGTCTACTTGCGTCTGCGTGTCATGCCACTGTCACATTCAAAGCTAATATGGGTTTCACAGGCACCTCCCCAGACTCATCGACAGGATATCGATTTGAGCTACCTCAATCGAGACGTGGATGCCTTGATCGCTTCCGCAAAGATTGATTTCGCTAACAGTCCTTTTAACCCCGTCTCTCAACAACGTTTGAAAGCGTTGGTGGATCTCCAGGCCATTCTACAGAAACAACAGCTTGCTCCAGATCAGTTGAAACTTGTCCGCGATCAGGTCTCTGCGCTTGCTGCCACAAGACCGCCGTCGGTTGCCCCTAATGCCGCTACGAATGGCTCGGCAGTGTCCGCTCCTCCACAAATCCACACACCACCAGCGCAACCAGTCTCGCAGCCCCTTCAGCAACTACTAAACCATAACACTCTCGCCGAGCTGATCAAAGCTACCGCTTCACGTCAACAGTCTACCCCGCCACCTCAAATCCCGGCAGCGCTGCCTCAGATGCCCCAATATCCTCACCAAAGCGGCCCTCCACAGCCAGCACCGGAGAACCCTCTTATTGCGGCCTTGAGGGCACGTGGACTTCTACCTGGTGGACCAACACCCTCATCTCTTACGCCTTCGACTTCGACACCAGTTCCCGGGCGATCTAATTTGCCGTTCATCTTGCCCCATGGAATGCAACCTACCACCCCCGCTCCAGCTCAAACTCCAATCCCCTCCAATGGATCCTCTGGAGTCCCCATGAGCACTGCATCTATGAAGATCCCCCGATTCGGACTGATTGTATCTCTTTATGATTCCCGGCCCAACCGATGTGGAACTTGCGGCCGTCGCTTCTTGACCACGGACGAAGGCAAGGAAATGAAGGCCAGGCATCTGGACTGGCATTTCAAGACTAACCAGCGCATGACCGAGTCCTCCCGGCGGGCTCAGAATCGCAGCTGGTATGTTGACGAAAGGGTATGTTCATCCCTTGTATTTCTTCAAGTTTCATCTCTAACTCCAATAGGACTGGATCAAATCTCGGGAGGCTGGCGACGAGAACGGCGCCACGGATCCCCAAACCACCAGCGAAGGAGCTGCAGGCGTGGATGGCAATACCAAGCAAGAGCCGCCAAAGCCGTGGATTCGAGCTCCGAACGATGCCACTCTCCGCAACACCCCATGCCCCATCTGCCAAGAGAAATTCGAATCGACCTGGTCTGAGGATGTCCAGGACTGGATCTGGCAAGACGCAACCAAGGTCGGAAGTCGGGTGTATCATGCCAGCTGCTATTCCGAAGTAACCAAGGGCCCTGCGCCCACGCGTCAAACACGGACCAGCACGCCTGACTCTGTCCTGGGCAAGCGGAAAGCTGAAGTGAGTTCCTTTGGGAGTTAGTTGATGTCCAGAGGAGCTAACTATACGTAGGGAACTGAATCTCCAAGCCAGAAGACGCGCATCAAGACCGAGATCTAATGATCTTTTTTGTACCATACTTTCAACGTGATTTTTCCTGCATTGCATAGGGAATAACTCCCTGGCGTTAAATAGCGAATTGGGTCTTTCTACTTCCAACAAACCGTATATCGGCTGCCACAACCCGCTAAGCCGCCCCGCTCGGCACATCCCCGCTATAATTTCCCCATAAATTCCTCTCGACGTAAACTTGTCCTTTCTTCAATCTGTTCTCCAAACGTTGTCTGTTGTCCTGAATTGACTATACCCAAGTTTACTCTCATAATGGCGCCACACATTGTTCGATGGGGTATTATGGGTATGAAATCCCGACCATGAGAGAAAAACAGAAAAAGCTAACTGATTGATAGCCACTGGCTGGATCGCTGAAAGTAAGATCTTACTTCTACAATATCCTGTATAAGATAAAAACCCATGAAATAACTTATCCCCTAACAGCATTCACAAATGATCTTCTCATCGACCCCAATGTCCGCGATGCCTCTGACGTAGCCCACCAAGTCGTCGCCGTCGCCTCCTCCTCATCCAAGGAAAAGGCTGAGCAATTCATCTTGGCTCGGGGAATCACAACCCCCTGCACCGCATATGGTGACTACGAGACTCTTGTGGCCGACCCCAACGTCGATGTTATCTACGTCGCGACCCCGCACTCCCACCACTACCAGAACGTCAGACTCGCGCTGGAGGCCGGCAAGCATGTTCTCTGCGAGAAAGCCTTCACCGTCAACGCTGCTCAAACTAAGATCCTCGTCGAGATTGCCCGCAAGAAGAATCTCTTCCTTATGGAAGCTGTCTGGACTCGCTACTTCCCCCTTAGCATTCAGATCCGTGAGCTCATCCAGAAGGGTGAGATCGGCGAGGTCCTGCGTGTCGTGGCTGATACAAGCTTCGGCGATGACGTTGAGACGAAATGGGGTACCACACACCGCATGGTAAACCCTGATTTGGCCGGTGGTGCTCTCTTAGATTGTAGGTTCTCCGGGATTGTTGTTCATTGATTGTTCCCCCATACGAAAAGATCAAGAAAACCCTGACTGATTTGCTCTTCCAGTGGGTATCTACTCCTTGACCTGGGTCTTCCAGACTCTATACCACACCCTGCCCCGAGACCAGAGGAAGCCACCTACTGTCACCTCGCAGATGACTCCTTATCACCTCACCGGCGCAGACGAGTCTACAACCATGCTTCTGAGCTTCCCTACAAGCACTCCCTCCAATGGTCTTCACCCGCAACAATCGCACGGTGTGGCCCTGACCAATATTCGTGTCTCTGCAGATCCGGATGAGAAGGGCTCGGCTGGTCCTCCCATCCGTATTCAGGGCACTCAAGGCGAGATCCAGGTATACGGCCAGCCTTTCCGACCAGAGAGCTACCGTATCATTCCCAAAAAGGGTGCCGGTGAGATCCGTGAGGTTCAATGTCCATTCCCTGGTAATGGCAAGGGTATGTACTGGGAGGCTGATGAGGTTGCTCGTTGTCTCCGCGATGGCAAGCTCGAGAGTGAGGGCTTGCCATTGGAAGAGAGTATCGTGATTATGGAGGTTATGGATGAAGTGCGAAAGCAGGGTGGTTTGACCTATCCTCAGAAGATTGAGTCAACCGAGTATCCTCTGCAACTTTAGGTATGAGTTTACATGGCAAGTTTAGATAATACTAGTATTAGGTGAATACCTACACCACATCTACCTATGTGTGTTGCATTGAATCTCCGGAAAGAAAGATCTCCGGAAAGAAAGACTACAAGATTTACCAAAACATTCAATTGAATGCATACCGGTCTTGAGTGTATTCGGTACTCTAAGGTACACACATACTATACATGGCGGTCAAGGGGAGAAACCCACGTCTATATGTGGATGAAAACACCACCCATGCTTCCGGTGTGCCCAATTAAGAAAAAAACATAAGGAAAAAAAAAGGTGGACATCACGGAGCCTGGACTGGTAAATTGTCCCAAATTACCCCCCATATTCCCCTTTTTAAAATGCAATCAATCCAACAGAATCGCTTACTGGTGGAAGACTCCAAGAATGCTCTTCCAGACCTGACCAGGCTCCTGGCTGGCATCAATGCCGCGCCAGATACCGGTCTTCTTGTAGTAGTCGACAACGGGGGTGGTCTGGGCGTGGTAAGTAGCCAGACGCTTCGTGAGGGTGTCGGCATTGTCATCGGAACGCTGGATCAGCGGCTCGCCAGAGATGTCGTCCTTCATGTCAGCCTTGGGCGGGTTGAAGATCTTGTGGTACGAGCGGCCAGAGGCAGGGTGGACCAGGCGGCCGGTGATACGAGCCACCAGCAGGGAGTCGTCAATCTGCAGCTCAACGGCGTGCTGGAGCTTCTGCTCACGGGCAATGAGCATGTCATCGAGACGCTCGGCCTGCGCAACCGTCCGGGGGAAACCATCCAAAATGAAACTGTCCACCTCTCATGTTAATCCTGGCCGGGTTTCGGAAGAAAATAAATACGGAAGGGAATGTAGAGGTACGCACCCGTTCTTGCACTCTGGGTTGTTGTCCAGCTCACTCTTGATCATGTTGACCATGATCTCGTCGCTAACGAGACCACCCTGGTCCATGATCTTCTTGGCTTCCTTTCCAAGGTCGGTCTTCTTTGCGACCTGGGACCGCAGCATGTCTCCGGTGGCCTATTTAGGAAATATATCAGCGGGAAGAGCTTATGCTGTACTCAGGCAAACTTCCTACTCACCAGGTGGCACGCGCAGTACTTTTCCTTAAGGTTCGGGGCTTGAGTACCCTTGCCTAATTGAAACTGTTAATATACATTGCCTTTTTCTTCTCCCCAGTTATAGTTCAATTGCATACCTGCACCAGGAGGGCCCATCAGGATGATGCGCATCTGCTCGGCAGCGGACTTGGGCTTGCCGCCATTGGCGAGACGGCTCTCAAGCTCAGACACCTTTGCCTCCAGCTGGTGGATGGTGTTCTTCAGACCGGAGACGGCATCTTCAGTAATGGGAGCCATTTTGGATTGTAAGAGGGGAGAGGGTTGAAGAAGGGAAAGACTGTAGACGGGGAAACGGAGAAAATGGGGAAAGGGAAGAATCGCGAGGAACTTAGCGCCCGAGGTTCGGAAAGCACGGGCTTCACCAGGGAATGGATTTGAATTACTATAGTACACACAATATAGAGGCGATGTATACCAGTTATATCCTGATATAATTGAATGTTTAGGATCTATACATGTTTTATATCTTATATTCTCTATCTTTTTCTGTTTTGTATAATAGTATTGATCCATTGATGTACAAACATAACATACGTATTCTTTCAAGCTTCCTCTTCACCGGACAAGGTGGCTGCTTACTAAGTTCTCCAGCCTCAAGATGGCGCAGCTCTGTGGCGGAGAGCTCTCAAGAGGACCTGTGCATCATCGCTCTCCATCCACCGCATTCTTCTGTCTCGCGTTGGTTTGCTGTTTCATTAGATTTTTATTTGATCTACGAGCTTTAATCGTCCCTTATAACTCTCGATCTCTTTTCACCTTTCCTCCCCTTCACGATGCCTGCCACCACGGCGGACACGCTATCCCTCGTCAACCGCTCCGTGACGGTTGCCCCGTTAGTCCTCCTTTCCGTCGCAGATCACTATGGGAGAACGGCAAAGGGTACCCGGAAACGCGTTGTAGGTGTGCTGCTGGGTGAGAACTCGGGTGATAATGTCCGGGTATCAAACAGTTTTGCTGGTAAGTGCAAGCTTCGGTGAATCAAACCCATACAACAGACGAGCTGACATCTGTGTTTCTTATCTCTCTAGTCCCGTTCGAGGAGGATGAAAAGGACCCATCAGTGTGGTTCTTGGATCACAACTTCGTTGAGTCGATGAGGGATATGTTCAAGAAAATCAATGCTCGCGAGAAGCTAGTCGGCTGGTACCACTCGGGTCCTAAGCTACGCGCTTCGGATTTAGAGATCAATGAGCTCTTCAAGAAATACACGCCCAACCCCTTGCTTGTTATTGTCGATGTACAACCGAAGGAAGTTGGTGTCCCTACAGATGCTTACTTCGCTGTGGACGAGATCAAGGATGTGAGTTTACATTGAATCCGAGGAAGCATCCATCAGGCCACCAGGGCTAACCAAGTCTATTTTTGTTTCACTTGCAGGATGGCACAACAACCTCCCGAACATTTGTGCACACCCCGTCGATAATCGAGGCAGAAGAAGCAGAGGAGATTGGCGTGGAGCACCTCCTCCGAGACATCAGGGACGTCGCAGTCGGCACACTTTCCACCCGTATCACGTCGCAGCTGCAGTCACTGCAAGGATTGCATCTGCGGCTACGCGATATCGGCCAATACCTCCAGAAAGTTCTCGACAAGGAACTTCCCGTCAACCACGCCATTCTGGGCAACCTCCAGGATGTTTTCAACCTCCTTCCCAATCTGTCTACCCCACCGGCGACGCAGCGGACTAACGGCCAGGAGCCGCAGATCGAGAACAGCGAGTTGGCACGGGCCATGAGTGTCAAGACTAATGACCAATTGATGGCTATTTACATCAGTAGCTTGATCCGTGCTATCACGGCTTTCCACGACTTAATCGATAACAAGATCCAGAACCGACAGCAGCAAGAGGAGAGTGACACCAAGCGAGACCAGGAGGCCAATGGAACTAAGGGAGACAAGGATGCCAAGAAGGCCGGTTCGCCAAACGGCGACCAGAAGGAGGAGCAGGATAGCTTCGACAAGAACAAGAAGAAGAACTAAGGGACTCTTAATTTATTCTCTTCCGGAAAGAATTGTCAATCCAATGAGTGAAGCATATGACATTTCAACCGAAGGGGGTTTTTTTTTCTTCCTTATATTAGCAGTCCAAGTCTGTCCATTTCGCACAGCAAACCAAGACCTTGGTTTCTCTGTAAAGTGTATATTTAAGTACATCTAAAGTAACAATACTACCATTGGTGTGTCTACCATGCAATCATCCTGCAATCTTAAGGGCACCGGGACAAAGCCCCCCATTCGTGGCCCGCCGACTTCTATGTTCAAGGAGTGATTGCCCGGACACAAGCAGATGGTTCATGTGGAATGGACAAGGGTCTGTAGGACCGTTGTCATCTGCGGATACCTGGGATGGTTCTCATATGGTCGCTTCGGCAGCGGCCGCGGGGCCAAGGACTCTTTGCCCAAATACATAATATTCGTACTTCAATTTGCGTTTGGTTTGTCAAGAGCCAAGCAAATCAACCACCCCAACCAGCACACCAGCCTGCCAATTCCTCCTTGGAAACGGCGCATCTGCCATCCCCGTCAACCCCGAACAGCTCAGGGCACCGTGTATATAGAATACAGGCTAGGATATGTTTGCAGGTAGGAGGCGACACCCGAGCCGTACCACGAGCTAGCGTTCCGCCAAATGAGTAGGCCAACTGATTCAGTTCGTTTGTCGGATAATTCGCCGGGAGTTGAGAGTCTCGGTATGCAGACAGGGTAAATGTAGGGCAGCTGCAATTCCAGGCACGCAGCCGAACCTCGTAGCCCTTTTCTTGGGAAACCGAGGAACCCGGAAGTGAAGGCGGTGCCGAGGCAGATATCACAATGAAAATATCCTCATGGGCTTTCTCTAGAGATGTGATACATTGGTCGGAGCGCATAATTCGACGGACTAGTTTGTGGTCGAGAATATCAAGGGCAGGGAGGAAGTCATTTGGGAATAGACAGTGTAATGTTAACATCAGTGGTTTTAGGGTCTTTGAATGTCCGGTTTGTGCCAATTCTGTGATCAAACGATCAATGAAGATTTGAGGAGAATTAGAATCCATTTAGTGTGATGGAAAGAAGAGGTAAAGAGAATAGGAAAAAAAAAACAACATGATGAAGATTGAAACCAAAAAAAGAACAAAAAGAAAGTCCCGAGATATCCCAACTTCAACTTCAACTTCTACTTCTTCCCCTTCTTTCCCTTTTCCCCTTCCCATTTCCATTTCCATTTCCATTTCCATAATCCTTCGCTTTACCTTGCACCTTTTTCTTAATTTTATTAAATGTCGAATCTTTTTCCTTGACTTCTTCCTCATCTGCTTTCTCTCCCTTCTTCCTCTTCAGTCGATTGTAGTGCATTCCTTGAACTTCAAGATCCAACGCCTTTGCTCCTTTTCCTGCATCTTCAGTCAAAATTATCTGAAGTCGTCCACGTTGTTTAGTCCAGTCGACTATATCCTCATTGGAACCGGTACTAATATCAGAACCAATGGCAGAGGAAATAGCAGAGCCAATAGCAGAAGTCGAAGTCTTTGCTGCTTGGGCTGTATGGGCTGTTTCCCTCTTCTTCTCCCATTCATTTGCCCATTTCTCCCACTCCTTGCGCCTGGCATCCGCTGAGCGAGCTATATAGCTATCGACCACCTTGGGAACCATCACATCCAGTAACTTCCCTAATTCCTTGGGACCAAAGACATTGAAGCCCGATTCGGGTGCAGGACGCTTAGGTGCAGGATCCTCAGGTGACCCAGAACCAAAATTTGAGAACACACACCCGTCATCCAACGGATCGGAGTTGATCTCCAGGGCATTGTGTTCTGGGGTTCGCTCTGTCTGGGGGTTCTGCGCCTCTGGGCGTCTCTGTACTTTGTCATTCGTGGGTAACCGGCGGTATGTAAAGAGATAACCAGTGGCGAGATGGTTTGGGTTGCCTCCAGGCCCTTCGGGGTCCCAGTCCAAGATTTGTAGGTCATTTGCGTTGCTCCATTCATCTCCTTTACCTTTGACACCGATACTGTAATGACCTCGTGTTACATCCTGGCCATGATGCAAAACCACCGAGGTCAATTTATACTGGACGACTTTTCGTTGGTTGCCCCAGCGTTCATCCATGAACCGCGTCTCGATAGTGAACTGCTCGGTCAGATATACCTGAGTATCGATCTTCTCACCCATCACACTGGTACGGTTGAGCTGGACCAAGAGAAGCTCAGGGAAACTTCCAATTTGATCTTTGGCTGTCTTGGTGCCTCCACACTCCGTACACACACCGAAATCATCCTCATGATCAAAGTGGTTTTCGATTATATCGCCCAAAGTAGGCTTCTCGGGCAGTATATCGCCCTCCTCTCCGGATAAGTTGATCATCATAAACCGTTGCTGTCTTGAGATGTATCTTGGGTTACAAGGGTTTTCCCCAGCGCATCTCGCTGCCATGATGATTTCGACCTCGAACATATCTTCCAAGTCTTCTTTCCTGGAGTCTCAAGTCAGTCTTCTGTGAGAGATGTGGGGAATACGGGAGGAATTAACATACATCATAGGCTTAGTGCTCTTTTTAAGAGCGGCGTAAAGCACGTCAAAGTACTCTGCCGGGTCTTGTTCCGAGTCTACCCCGGCAGGTTTCCAACCATGCAAGAGCGAGCGTGTTAGGGATTCAAAGGCAGGCATCCAACTTTTAGCTTCGGTTTCACCTGCCCAATACCCTTGAGCAATCTCAGCCAGTTGACAAACTTGACATTCACTGGGACCGTCTTCAGAGCCCAGAAGGCAAACATGACCTTTCGGGGCATGGTGCTCCTTGTACCAGATGAGCCAATTATAGAATATGGGCATATGTAGAATCATTTGGAAGACGACATTTCGATAACAGTCAACTCCGGCATTTGGAAAGCCCACAGTGGTTTTATTGGGCAAGTTGGGATGCCAATATGTGGGGATGACGGTCTATCTTTTTTTGTTAGACTGTGTCGATGTTGAGGTTGACTCTCGGACTACCACTTACTCTCACCGTCCTTTTCTCCTTTCCCGACTTTATCCTTGGCTCTGTCAAGTCTTCCACTTCCCTCTCTCCTTTTTGCTCTTTTTCCTCTTCTTCTGAGTCATCGAATACCGGTGAGTACTTCTCCGGGACTTCCTCGAGTTGTTTAGGTTTGGCCATGATAGAATATGAAGTGCATAAATGATGTGAAGCTATTGCTCACTTGAGGAATTCGCCGTTTAATTTATCTTGCATTGCAATCGATTTTCATTGATTTCATGAAAGAAAAGATGGACTTCGACTTGGAATTGAAAGAATTCATGATAGAACCAATGAATCAACGATATTGAAGGCAGTGATCAAAGGAAGTCAAGGAATCTATTGAGACAACACCAGAGGCACTCATTCAACTTTCATTCAAACTTCATTCTGATTATTCTGATTATTCTGATTATTCGGTTCTTTCACCGATTCCCAGTTCTAGGATATTACATTTGAGTCGAGGTCGGGCTTACATCCTGAACTTACTTCCTTTGATTTCCTTTGAATATGTCCATCTCTAATAATAGAATAAATAGAGGCTGTTCACTCAAAAAGAGAAAAGTTGAAAATGAAGGTGACTTGGGCATCCCTGAGATCAAACCTGTCAGGAAACAATTTCGGTTCCAATTTCCGTCAAATTTCAGGGCCCAGTGGGACCCTAAATGAGTTGGAATCAGCCAATTTCCTTGAACGATTATTTTCCCCCCCGGCTTTTGTATAAGAATGTTCGAGACCAGTCAAGATAATCTTAACTCTATAAGTGTAAGGAGAAAGAATGAACCAGTTCCACCTATAAAGTGTCTATAAAGTGTTTCTGTCTAGAAGAGACTTGACCCCCACAAGGCAGCTGTTTCAGATGTGGAGTCAAATGAAATCGGAAGAAAGGTTGGTGATTGGTCGTCCAAAGATCCGGCCGAAAGCTCTTACCGTATATATTTTGTACTTTGTATAAGGACAGGGTGTATAGTCTATGCATGGATTTTGAGATACATCCACTCTCGGAACAAGTACGACCTGCCCCGATGATCCATAGCCAATATTGGATATATATATACATATACTATATATGTATATGTATATATACAAAAAAAAAGTAAGGTATTGACAGCAGGGTTCCTCGCATCTACCGAAGATCCACCGTTGAGCGCATTGCCCCCAAATCCAAACGGTTGAGCGCCACTTCAGCTGAAGCAGATGATCTCAATGATCTAAGTGGAACCCGTAAAATTCTCCGTTCACGGTGCATATGTGGCTAGTGGTAGGTACATCAGGTAAGAGACAAACCTATAACCTTCAAGAGAAACCCCCCTAATATCAATACCTGAAATGATTGAAAGGATCGGAAGGATCGAAAGGACAGAAAGGACAGAAATGACAGAAATGACAGAAAGGACAGAAATGACAGAAATGACAGAAATGACAGAAAGGACAGAAATGACAGAAATGACAGAAATGACAGAAATGACAGAAATGACACGAAAATAATGAGGTTCGAATCACTAAAAAAACCGGGTCCAACGGGTACGTGTCGGATATTTAGGGCGATCGCGATAATAAATAGAAAAGAGAAACACTCTGCGCAGCGCCACCAGCTCTTCGCTACCACGTAAGTCATAGTTATGATGATCAGACGTTTGCCCCTCTTTGAAACTCCACACCGTTATTTCTTCATGGTTGGCTGAGCTGGTCTCCCCCCACCCCCTGTGCACCGTTTGACATTCTGCGCGTATCATCACACCTGGCTTCTTCCCGTGTCTGACTACCTAACACCTTTCGTCTGAGGTCTCGGGACATGGCCTGTGATTTCTCTCTCTCTCTCTTTTTTTTTAATAAAATATCTCAATTCTTACCTTGTCATATCTCCCCCTTCGGACATAATCCGGGCTATTGGTCTACGGATTGTTCCCGTTGCTCCAAGCGGATCGTAAGGTCGATGAAGCCGCTGCCGAACGGGGCGTGTCTGTGCTGGCTTCCAAGCCAAGGGAGGCAACGATCGCCTTGCGAACGTTGTACATGATCCACTTACACACGTTCGACTCTGCCTTTTTTGTTGCCTAACAGGAAAGTTGATAGACGAGATTTGGAGGCCCAGAAGTAGGAACAGGTTGGGTTGCTGATCCTCGGTGCATTGACTGAATGGATGTTTCAGGGAAAAAAAAAAGATCGTCGTAGGAAAAGGGAGGTCATATAATATACCTTTAATAATATATCATTATATAATTTAAATAGAGAAAGGAACTCGTGTTCGGTCTCGGCGTCTGCCCGGTTTCTGGGTCCAACGGGCATGACGTACCTAGAATTCCATTGGGAAATTGGCAGGAAATTGGCAGGAAATTGACAGGAAATTGACAGGAAATTGACAGGGCTATTTAACGGAAATTGAAATGACCCACAAGTCCCTTAAATCTTGGAAATGCATGAACGCGTGCCCCGTCGTTCAAGAGACGGTTTTGAGACCTTAGCCTAGGCCTTGAGGATAATTATCTTAAATCTAGGTACATGATCTATATAGTATACAATAAGATTCTTCAATTTCACCAGTCAAAAAAAAGCAACAAAAAGCAACAACAAAGAGGGAAATTTATTACATGTTAGATTCAAAATTCACCACTTGTATTTGCATATAAATCTCTTGTGTCTCTTGTGTCTCTTGTGTCTCTTATGTCTTTTATATCTATATCTTTTATATAAAGAAACACATGGACACCCGAGAGTCGGGAACCCGGAAAAGCCCCGCAAAGAGCAAGGGGGAAAGAACCTTGGAAGTGAAGAAGAGAAAAAAATCCCCGACTGGTTCGAAGGTTGAGATATAGTAAAATCCCCGTGAACGTTACAAAGTACGTCCCCCAAAGCCGTTAAACGATCTGGAACTTTTAGGGGCTAGGCTCTGGACCGGAGAAGACCGTTCTGTTCTCATTTAACTAAGGGTGATGCGGGTCTCCGGATTTTATTTTATTTATTTTAGATTTTATATTTTATATTTTAGATTTTAGATTTTAGATTTTAGATTTTATATATATTATATTAGATTATTTTAATTTTATATTTTATATTTTACTTTTTCCTTTTTCCTTTTTTCTAATTTCTAATTTCTTAAAAATCAAAATCAAAATCCCCCAAAATATACCAATTAGGATTAATTAGTAGAATTAGTATAGAGCATACATGTACATAATTTAGTATGGTAACGATGTCCTCCCTACCCTGTACTCTATACCCTTCTCCCATGGAAGGTTGCCCCTCTTCCTTTTCTAGGTTAGGATGAAACTCTGCAGGTCATATCAAACATTTACCGTCTCTACTTTGCATACTTTGCATGCTGCGTATACTGGGTATACTGCGTATACTGCGTATCCTAGGCATCCTAGGTACTTTGTACTTCAGTCCTTAGAAAAGTCAAAGGCTGTTATTACTATTATTTAGATATTCTATCAACTATACACCTCAGCTCTCAAGACTTCACAAAAAATAGAACTAAAAATAAAAACCAAAAATAAAAATAAAACCAAAACCAAACCAAAACACAGATCAAAGTAGAACAGGGGAAACTGACCGCATCTTTAATTAAAACCAGTGGATATGGATGTATTTATTTTTTTTTACCTCTGTAACAGCCGTTACCCTTAATAGTCCACCCCCAACGGTCTAAGACTCTTCTTTTCTCCTCTCTCTTCAAGATAGGTTTAGATCAGCTGTCACTTCTGGATTCGTTTCACCTTTCAAGTTGGATGCTTCATATGGTCCTTTTCTCCCTTTTCTTCAATTCTACAATTGACTCTCTCTTCATTAACATCTCATATCCTTCCTTCCCCCTCCTTTCTATTCTTTCTATTCTCTGATATCCTGGAGATTTCCACAAATTCCAATTCGAAAAAAAAAAAATAGGCTGGAGATTCTACTATTGATTCGGGACGTTTGATCGTTCTGTCGTCATATTTGGGACAAGACTTGGGATCACGAGAACCTTCCGTCTACTCCCTCTTTCTTTTTTTTTTTCCCCCGCCCCTTCCCCCTCCAGTCGGGGATCTCCCTGCTGCCTTGTTTTCTATTTGATTCACCGGTGCTCATCCGCGCATATGATCGCGTTACAAAATCGGCCTATATTGCCTCCAGTCAAAGTGGATATCTCACTGCTACTTAAGCCCCAAGATGAGGAAGAAACCGCCCCGGCTCTGAACACCGGGTACCCGCCCAGAACCATAGGACCACCGCTGGGCTTGGGTCCCATGATGACTATGCCGGGCCCGGCTGCCATGGCCATGCCACCCTTGACCAAGACCGGCCCGTCGGGTGCTGCCAAGCGCCTGCAGCCCTCGCATACTTCCGAATCCCCAGCAAAGAAACAGTCTAAGTGGTCGCCAGATGAGGATGCCTTGATCATCGAACTGCGTGGCAGTGGGATGAAGTGGGAGGATATCAGCAAACGACTTCCCGGCCGCAGTGCCATCAGTTGCCGTCTTCATTATCAGAACTACCTGGAACGCCGAAGTGAATGGGATGAAGATAAGAAGAACAAACTAGCCCGTTTATATGAGAGGTAGGTTTTGGGAAGGGGGAAAGCATCTCGGAAAGGAAACAAATCCACTAATCTCACACTCATCTGATAGATTCAAAGCCGAAATGTGGTCCAAGGTAGCGGAGGAAATGGCTATCCCATGGCGTGCAGCAGAGGCCATGCACTGGCAGTTGGGAGAACAGGAGATGGCTCGACGCGCAGGTGTAGTACCATTCTCTCTCTCAAGTGCTGCCATCGATCCCCCCACCACCAGAACACGCCGCGCCAGCACTTCTCTATCCCGGCCGAGAAAGGGATCTTCCTCACGCGCAATCCCAGGCCATCTACCAGGTCTTCCACCTCAACTTCCCTCCCTTGAAGAGCTCACTGCAGGCGTTCCTGCATATGCACCCGCTCCACCTCCCCCGAGAGAGTTCTATGGAATTGGACGACCGCCGGAGATGGGAATTCCCCCACCAGGTCTCATGGGCCCTCATCCTGGCATTCCCCCTCGAACCATGCCCTAGGGATGAGATGACGAAGATGACGCTTACACGTCTTTCCTTGAGTTTCCCCTCTTGTTTTCTTCTTCTTTTTTCTTCTTTTTTTCTTTTGTGGTTTTCTGTTACGAATTGCATAGCGC